CCTCCCTCCCTCTCTCCCTCCCTCCCTCCCTCCCTCCCTTTCCCCCTTCTTTCCTCCATCCATTTTTCTAAGTCAGGGTCTCTATGTAAATGGCTGTGCTCGAACTCACTTGTAGACCAGGCTGGCCTTGAACTCACAAAGATCCACTTTCCTATGCCTCCTGGGTGCTGGGACTAAAGCCATATGCCAGTATGCCAAGCAAAAACATTTAAAGTATTAGTTTTAACAGTTTATTCAAAGAAGTTACATTACTTACTTTTCTCATTGCTGTAACAAAAGAAACTAATGTGTTTATTTTTGCTCAGTTTTAGGGTAGAAGAGATATGGCTGCTGGGGCAGATCTAGTTTTGCAACAGGAATGTGAAACAGTCATATTTATGTCTGCATTCAGGAAGGAGATGAGACATGAATGCTGGGGCTCAGTGCTTTTTGTACATTTATTGAGTTTGGGCCACCAGCCCATGGGATGGTGTTGCCCACATTAAGGGTTAGTTTACTCTTTCAGTTAAAGCCTTTAGGAAATGTCCTCTTAGACATGCCCAGAGGTTTGTCACTAGGTGATTCTAAATCCTTCAAGTTGGCAGTGAAGGTCAACTATCACAGTCAAGGTCAAGTATCACAGAGGCCCTCTTGTTTCCTTACCTCCCTTTCCTTCTCTCCTCCTCTCCCTACCCCTTTTCCCTCCCTTTCTCTCTTCCCCTCCCTCCTTCCCTCCTTTCTCCTTTTCCTCTTCCCTCCCTCCTCTCCTCTCTTCCCTTCCTCCTTCCCTCCCATTCTCTCCCTCCTTTCTTCCTCTTCATTTTTCTCCCTCCTTCCTGTCCTTTCCCTTTCCTCCCTCCCTCTCTCTCTCCTTCCTTCCTTCCCTCCTCCCCTCCCTTCATCCTGTGTATATGTTTGTACAGGTATGAACTTGCACCCACACACCTACACTCATGGCTGTGCATCAACTTGGAGGCTGGTTGGGTGTTCTTCTCTATTTGCTACTCACATCATCATCATCATCATCATCATCATTATCATTTTTTTTCCCCCAGAAACTTTTGAGGTCCAGCCTCTTTAGTTTCCTTCCCAGGGGCCCAGAAGAGACACTGCTAATGGTGGTGTATTCATCAGGAAAAGAATCTAAGTACATTGAGCTCTTTTGTCCGTCTACTTTATTCCTCTGGGATAAAAGCCTATTTACACAGCTTCAGTTCTTTTCTCATGCCTAGCTCCTTTCTTGCCTTATTTCTCTCTACATTTATCTGCTGTCCCCTCTAAGGTCTATCTTAATTCTCTCATCTTAGTTCTGCTTCATGTTGGTCTTTCTCATCTCGTTCTTAGCCATCTGGCTCTTCCTCATCTTCCATCTCATTCTAGTTCTCCAGTCAAAATCCTCTCTAAGGCTTTGAGGTTTACAGTTATATACCCATGCAATAGCGGTGCTCTAGCTAAAGCAAGGTGACCAGGCTTGAATTCTTAACAGGGGTCATAGAGGCAGACAAAGAGTTTTCCTTAGGCACTGACCATCAGGCTTTCTTTTATAACCCTAAAGGAGGAAGTCAACTAAGAGCTAAAATTGGTTAATATATCAGAAAAAGGGAATTTAGGTGCTCAAACTACATTCCTAGAGGTGGATAGGTAAATGTTAGGAGTCTATAATGTTAGTATAAATATTAATAAGGCTGTATAAGAAAGGAGGGTCTGAGCTTAATTTACCTTAATTCAGGAGATTGAATTAAGGTAAATTAATTTTGAATTGAATTACCTTAATTCAAGCCTTGGATGCTTGATAAGTATTTCTGATAGAATACACTGTTATAAGTTCTTGGAAGCACACATAGCATACAAGAAAATCGTTGCAGGAATTGGCTAATATATATACAAAAGCTAAAATATCACCCAAGACTTCTTTTTTTTTTTTTTTTTTTTTTTTGGTTTTTCGAGA